CCTGAGCACGACCCCCGAGCACGGCCGCAGCTAGTACTCCAGACAGTGAGCAGGCATATTGGGGGCCAAAATCAGAGCCGAATAACAGCCTGTGGTGGGGACGAGCCCGCGGGTCTCCTGCCCTCCCAGCCTTGGCCTCGATGCAGGCCGCGTGCTGGGACTGCCCAGTACATGCTGAGAACAGGACGTCCCGGAAGCCACATCTTCCTGCATGTTGGAGGACGCAGGGCGGCCGCCCCCAGAGAGCACGCTGGTGTGCTCACCACTCTGGAAGTCCTCCGACGTGTTGCTCAAGAGCTCAGGCTCCAGCCGCGCAGGCCAGGTGCTTTCAGGGGCGCCACCCTGAGTCACCTGCTCAGCAGAAAGTCAGAAGTGACTGAAGGGCCCTTATGAACAGCAGCAGGCACTCCTGTCACTCCAGAACGGAGATAGAGAATGCTTCGTATCCTCCAGGAAATTATAGAAAAATAGTCCCTGTGGAAAAAAAATGAGATGACAAAATAAGACATCAAGATGAACAGAGAACTAGCAAAGAGAAGGAAAAAGTTTAAGAAATCAAATTTAGTTCCAAAATTTAAGTGACTTGAAATCTGTGGGAAGTAGAGGAGGTGTAATAGGAAATGAAAGGCAATAAAAAATAGTGAGTGGGGCCGGCCGAGTGGCGCGTTGGTTAAGAGCTGGCTTGGGACGCCAGCTCTGCGCAGCAGGGCCCCGGTTCGGATCCCACATGAGGGCCAGTGACACTGCCCTCTACAGCTAAGATGGCGAACAACAGCTCGACCTGGAGCTCAGCTGCCATGAGTCGCCGGTGATAACGGCATAGGCTGCAGCCTCTGCTGCAGTGGGCTGCCGTAAGCTATCGTGAGTAGCCAGCAGCCAGCGTGAGTGACCGGCAGCTGCCGTGAGCGGCCGTCCCATGGCCGGTGACCAAGCTGCCTCACCCGGGAAGAGCGCAATGATCACACCAACATGGGCCAGTGAAGCGACGTCCTCCACAACTAGACTGAAGAACAAAAGGACAGCAACTTGTCTGTTCCCCTCCCCCAATTCCCCTACGCTGTTCCCATCCCCAACTCCCCAAAAAAACCTTAAAAAAATTTTAAAAAAGTAATGAGAAGCATGAAAAATAAAGATTCAACATACAGATAATTATTCTTTGAAATGAAGAATAGAACAAATAGTAACAAAACAGTATGTAATCTGCCATATTTCAATGAGTGTAAGCTTGCTTATTCTTTCCAGAAAGTTACCGTGACTCAGGGTACCAAACCTGACAAATGGATGTGGACACACACACACACACACACACACACACCCGTACGCACGCGCACGGCCCCGACAGATCAGGTCACAGTGAGACATCGCGACTGGAAGCCTGCAGCATCAAAAGCGAGCAGCACACTGGCCGAGAGTCATCCACGGCTGCTTTGATGACTTCCTGTTTGCTGCCTATTAATACTATTCATCATCTTAATAGGTGACCAGAGGAAAGTGATTTGATAAAATTAAAAATGAAGTTAATAAAACTTATAATAAAAATATGTTTGCATAAGAGGAATTTTCTTGTAAACCAGCAGCCAGCACCCTCTCCTGCTTCAGACTTGCGGCTCATTAATGTAATTAGAATTAAGAGAGGGATGTTTGCCAACTTCAGTTCATTCAGCAAACCATTCTGGAAATGTAGTCAGTGTAATAATTGCATGAGGAAACAGAAGGTGCACATTCTAAAGAGAAGGCAAATTAGCATTATTTATGTATGATAGGAATTTGAACTCTGCCAAAAATAAAAACAATGAAATCCTTTGGAAAGCTATCAGCAAATCACATGAGTGCTCAGCAAAGTGACTGATTGCGGAATGATTACGTCCACGCAGACCAAGACCACGAAAGTCAGGGTGGCCCCTCTGGAGGGTGGGTGGGAGCAGACGCCATGGGGGATGGGCAGGGGCCTCGACTTGGTCACATACTGTTACTTAATCTGGGTGGTTCTGTTTACTGTATTACTCCTTAAACTCTCATCTGCATCGCATATACTCTTCATATATGGTATACTTAGCAATATTTTAAAAATTGTTACCATTTCACATATTAAAAATAGCCAGCAAGGAAATATTGGGAAGGAAAGAAAATCTGACTCACAAAAGCAACAGTAACAAATGATGACAAAAGCATAAAGTAGCTAAGGATGAATTGGACATATATGGAGAAAATGCCATAAAACTTGACTGGTCGATGTGAAAGGAAGTTTGAATGAGTGGAGGGGGGACCGAACACATTATTACCTGGTGAGATCCAGTAAATTAAGGATAGAAGTTCCCCCTAAATTAAACCATAAATTTAACATAATATTGGCACCATGACTTTAAAGTCCCACTAAAAGAATAAATGTTTGGGCCGGCCACTGGGTGAGCGGGAGGAGAGTGACATGGCGTCAGGTCCTGCAGGGCCTCGGAAGGCCTCGCCACGGGCTCTGCATTTCATCCTGAGTGTCAGGAATCCTCTGGAGAGCTTGAAGCAGATGAAGTGACTGACTCCAACAATTTCCTCTTAAAAAGGCTCATTCTGGTCGCTGGGGAGAGAGGCAGGGACGGCAGGCAAGAGTGGGAGCAGAGAGACTGTCCCACAAGACCCGAGAGGTGCTGGTGCACGGCCTAGGGCTGCAGGACGGTTGGCAGCATCAGAAGCCATTTTTGGTGGTTGCAGTTGGGGTGGGGGCACTGCTGCCATCTTGTAGGTCGAGCCTGGGATCTGCCCCCATGGCCCTAAGCGTCCATAGTACCTGGCTGAGAAACGCTGGCCTGAGGGTCAGCGGGCCGTTGAGCAGTGTCAGGCGCTGAGTGACTGCCTGCAGCTCGGGACCCGCCCACTGTTCGGAGATGTCGTGCGGGACTAAGAGGAGTCGGAATGGCCCGAGCCTCTGCGCTGCTGACCAGTGCCAAGCAGTAAGCACTACGTAAGTGCGAGGGGCGGAGCGTGTTTTCATATGATGAACATCCAGCTCAGGGGGTCCGAGCCATGTTCGTCGCCTCTGGTTGTGCTACTACTTGACCTTCGTTGCCCATAACACTCTCGTGTTCGGAAAAGGAAAACTTAGCGTGAAAAACAAAACCCGTGTTAGCGTTTCTGTGCAAAGGGAACTGTGCCATCGGCTGATGTCACATCTGATCACAGTGACTGGTTTATTCACGCTGCCGTCACATGTAGAACCGTACCAGGAGCATCCTAGGGCTGCTCAATGTCCCTTTTTCTAATTTCCTATTTAATGGAACTTTGCATTTGCAGTGGATTTATAATAGTGTTTATTTTCCAGTCAATGATTTAGTTATTTTTATGTTTAATGCTTTGCAAATTCCAAAATCTGGTCTGTGATGAATCTGATTGTATTAACTGTTTTTTCTCATGATTTTTGATATCACTATGGGTGAGTCAGTAAAAAACTCTGGGTTCTGTTACCTTCCTCTGAAGAGCATTGAGCTCTGTTCTTTTTTTNCCAAGCCAGCTCTTAACCATCGCGCCACTCGGCCGGCCCGAAACCGTTGGCCTTGAGCTCTGCGCCCTGGGCTCGCGCTGTGTGAACTGCGGAGTGCGCGAGGGAAGCTGGCGGAAGGCGACCTCACCCACAGTTGCTCCTTTAAGGGTTGTGCCCCTTCCGTTTCTGCCTGATCCGTTCACTCCCAGGTGCTTTCACATGGCTGTTTCTGTATTTTGTCCAGAGCTTATTATTATTGGCAAAAGGATTCATCTGATACAGATTATTCTGTCATTACTCGAATCCAGAAGTCCCAATCAATAAGGGTGTTATAGATAAAAAGACAGGTGACACAGTAGCTTGGTTTGCATGGGACGCAGAATTAGACTGGAAAATGCATTTCCTCTTGTTGTCTTTCTGCACTGAGAGGCCCTGCTTTACATGAAACGGCTCTCAGGGCTGCACGTGTGCTGGTCCCGGGTCACAGACGTGTGGGAGCGCTCGCAGAGCCATCAGAAAGCCGCATGAACCGGATGCGCTCTGGACAGAGCGTGCAGCAGCCTGCTGCGGCGGGCACAGCTGGCCCTTCCTTTGTTCCTTGTGCCCTGCGAGTGAGGGGACGCTGGACGAGCCAGGCTTTCTCCCCAAGGGCGCCCACTTCGCGCCCCACCCTGCAGGCTGCGTGTCAGGCACCAGTTGCCCAGCACACACTTCACGGTCTGTCTGCTGTCTTTCGGCCTCCGGGTCTGTCCGTCCCTCTGTCTCTCGCGCACCCTTCTTACCTGCCCACCATACACCTGTCACGCCACGTCTCCCTGGATGTGGCCTGGCTGTTGGACTCGTCCCCTCGCTGGGCCCACTGGCCTTCTCTGATTTTCCTTTACTTCTCATGTCCAGCCAGTGATGCACAGAAAGGCAGGTGTCAGTGTATTTCCTGGGCGACTTTTGCTGTTTTTTGGGGGGCTATTTGTTGTTAATTTCTAAAGCAGAGGAATTAAACATTTTCTCCACTAAAAATACTAAGTTGCCTTTTTACCCTGCACCATCGATTCTGTCCCCTGGCAGGAAAAACAAAAGATGGCTTCCTGCCCGCCAGCCCCTCCCTAGCTCCGCCTGTGCGTCTGATGTTATGATAATGAACATGATATAATAGAATTCACTTTTCTTTGTCTTCTCCCATAAATGTCCTTTGTCCGCCTGGAGGCTATTCACCCGCTCTCCTGTCACTCTCCCCAGCGTACTTCTTAGGAAGCAAAAAAGAGAAAGTCCGGTCTGCCCATTATTGAGGGGGCAGCTTCCTTTGTGTGGCGCCCGGCCCCTCCCCAGGGGCTCTGCTTCCTGTCGGGCTGGCGGTGAGAGTTCCTGCCTAAACCCAGAGCTGCCGGGATGAAGGAAACCTGGGTTTAGTTTTTCACCCTGCTGCTCTCTCCCCCCGGCCCCCCCCCATCTTTACTTTTTCTGCAGGACTGTTGCATTTTCCTGTTAAACATCTATTCGTGCGTTTGATTCACTTTCTTTTCTTTCTCCGCAGGTTTTGCATGCAGAAATGCGTTAGCCTGGTGCCTGGAGTCACACTGGACCTGATAGAAAAGTGAGTACGGTGGTGAGGGCGTGGCTTCCTGGGTGGAAGGGGGCGGGGAGATGCGTCTCGCTTTTCCCGTTTGGTTCTCAGAAGGGCTTCTGCCAGCAGGATGCCTCCCTCCATGTGGGTCTGCTCTTTTGAGTTTGGATGGTTGCATTGATGCTCAGCCTGGGACAAAGCTCAGTGCCGGGCCAGGTTAAAAGAAAAAGAATAAAACGCTGAAGCCTTTTCACATGTAACGCCTCCCAGCGCTGAGCCAGAGCAGAGACCTGTCCTCCACGTGCAGGTCATCTCCGTCCCACGCGCAGTGGTCAGTGAGGGCGCGGGTTCATGTCTGTTGGACACGCGTCCATCCATGTTCCCTCGGCGTGTGGTGACACACAACACCGGTAAGCAGTTGCCTGCCTGCGTCTCCTCACAAAGCTGCTCCAGGCGCGCACACACTCTAGTTCTCTGCCATCGTGAGCGGGGTGCGGTCTGCTGACAGACAGCTCTAAGCGTGCTTCGAAAACCCTTACAGATGCTGAACACAGCGTCATTATCAAGAAATGTCACTTGGAAAAGAGTTTTTTAAAATAAGAAAGGACTAGGTCTGTGTGGTCGGCCAGCCTGTTTGGTTGCTTCCTCGACAAGATTCCCATCAACCCCCTTCTCCGGTCTCTGCTGGGCTCCATCTCTGGGTCTTCTGTCCTTCCATTTCTAAGTTAGGGTGCACTCCATCACCGTACGTATAGGGCCATCTACATAATTTCTCAAGGAAACCACGACCTTAAGATTTCACGGCTACATTTTATCACGGTTGCGTTGCTTCTCACCTGTTCAGACCATTCCTGGTTTGAAATTTCTTTGATGCTGTTTTAGTTTGTTCCCTGTGAAAATCTCCAGAGCCCCTGCGAGTGGGCTGAGCTGTGTTCCTCCTCTCCCATCAGGCAAGGCGGGCAGCACAAAGCTCGCTGCCAGCCGCACCTCCCTGTCCCTGTCCATCCAGGATGGCCGGCTGTGTGCTGTCCTGGACCCTCCCGGTCACTCAGCACAGGGCCCCCACCCCCCGCCCCCGCTGTGTCCTGTTGTTGAGTCACGTGGGCCTAGACAGACAGCGTTACGTGTGTGCCCTGAGTTCTCAGAGTAAAAAGAGCTTTGGAACTCACATAATTAAAAACATATGTATACTTACAGTCACTTAGATAAGCCCCAGATTTTACCAAAGAGGGACCTGGCGTTCAGTGTAGCCCAGCTTTGTAGGTGGGATTTCCACCTGCAGAAGCGGGGCCGGTCGGGGGCCAGGTCTCTAGATGTCTCTCTGGACCCCTCCCCACACACAGGCCCCCCTCGTCCCCAGACTTTAGTGTCAGGACAACAAGCTTCCATCCTGCCACTTTCTCAGGTTTAAAATGTGCACAGCAACTTGACACCCTCAGCACCATCCACCAAAGGAAAATGTTGGTAAATTGGGCGTCATCAAAATTTAAAATACTTGCTCTCTGAAAGACCCCACTAAGAGAGGGACAAGTGAAGCTGAGACTTGGAGGAAACGCCTGCGAATCACATAGCTGACCAAGGACTTGTGTCTGGAATACTTGGAGCTTTCTCAGAACTCAAAAGTTAAGAAAAACAACGCAATTTAAAAACTAGACAAAAGCTGCGAAGAGACACTTGACCAAAGAGGACGTAAAGATGGCCAGTCGGCACATGAAAAGGTGCCTGAGTCATTCCCAACATCAGGACACACAAGTTAAGCCTGGAGGTACCACTGCACACCTACCTGGCGGGTTAACTGGAGGAAAAAGGTGACAGCACAAGGGCTGGGGACCTGAGACCGGCGGCACAGGAAGCTCACACTGCAGTCGCAGACGGGGCGGCCGCTCTGGAAGGGGGCAGTTCCTTGTACCTGTAAATACACCTGAACGCATGACCCGGTAAGCCCTCTCCTGGGGGTTTGTCCAGAGGAAAGAAACCGTTCACACAGAAACCCATGCAGGAATGTCTGTCGTCGCCGCATTCAACATCACCCCAAACTGGAAACAACTGAAGTGTCCTTGGGGAAGGGGCGTAAATGCTGGTGTGTGCCAGCAGGAGAGGGGGGCCTCTGATCCCCAGGTGTGGAGAGACGGCTTCCAGCTCTGAAGATGGCACATGGTCCGGTTCCCTCCGTGGGGCATCCTGGAAGAGACAGGCCTGCAGGGTCGGAGGGCACAGGAGTGGATGCCGGGGCTTACCGGGTGGGTGGAGAGCGCATCGCTATAAAGAGCCACCGAGAGGGAATCTGGGGGCGATGGCGTGTTCTGTGTCCTGGTGGTGGATGTGGTTACACATCTGCACACACTGAAGTCGTAGGACTGTCCCCCCCAAAAGCCAATTCACTGTATGACAACTCAGGACATAAAATCAATGCATGATGTGGAGAAAAGCCGTGTGAGAGAGTGTGGGTGGGAAAGGCTGAGGGACGGTCTGGAGGGGGCGGGCGGAAACGGGCGGTGACGCGGAGGGGCAGTGGCCTCCCTCCAATGACGACCTGGCTCTGGTGTTTCTGGGAAGAATCCGTCACTCTCATCATTAAAACTGGTTGATGAGGATTGAAAAATAGAAGAAATACTCGTATATATTAAGATTTTAGTATTTTTCATCAAGCATGATTTTCCTAAACTCTGGTTTGCAGCCACCAGTGTCCTTTCCGGAAACGCGTAGTACTTGTCCCCTCCCCAGCGCTGAGTGACGCTCTCAGCCCAGAAGGCCACACGTTGGCTTCTGAAGGTTAATGTACGTTGTCCCATCTCTTCTGTCCCCGTCTCCATGCCACGTGGGCTGCCACGTCGGTCAGGTGCTGCGAGGTAGAGGGTGTGTGTGTTGATGTAAAAAGAAAAATGCAGCTACCTGTCACTCCCAGCAGGCAGTTTTCAGACTGCGTCCTAAGTGGGGTGGGGGCGGGGAAGGGGTGGTGGAGACACTGGCCGTGGGAGCCGGACAGGCGAGCGGTTCCTGACCTCTCCCTTAGGAGCTACGCTCGCAGGCCCGCCTGGTCACCTCCGTGTCTGTCCCCGTCCGGTGGGGGAGAAGTGAACGGTGCTGGTGGCTCTCGGTGGGAGTCAGCTGCCCCTACCACCAGTGCCCCTGCTGCCCGAAGCTGCAGGCAGACACGTGTTCCCATGGCTTTAGGTTTCAGGTAGGACGAGGGAGGGAAGTGTCTCACACCTGCGCTGCTCACCGCCAGGCGGAGGTTGCCCACGTGGGACTTGCGGTAAAAACAGCCAAGCCCAGCTCTGCCGGTCAGGAGAACCCCAGCTTCAGAGGGCTTTGCGTTTTGGAAAAGCTTCTGGTCCTGACTGACTGGGACAGGCTGCAGGTGTCAGGCTGAGCACACTTCTCCCTCGGGTAGCGAGGACGGAGCCGCGAGGGGCGGGATTGTGTGGTGCTGACGGAGAGGGTGAGAACGAGTCTTCTTAGAAGCTCGGGTCTTGGTTCTGAACGACTTCTTGCGGCGCGTGGACGGGGCCCGAGCCCGTGTTCCCTGAGGACAACTCAGCAAAAGTGGGGCCGTTGCAGCACCGAAATCAGCATTTGCTTCTGAGGCCCCACGTGGCTGCTCCCTGGGTGCCCCAGAGGTCACGCTGGGTGTGGGCGGCTGCATTATGTTTACTGTTTTGTCCGGGACAAATTCCAAACTCTAGAATTCTACACACCGGAAACCAAGCCCCAGCTGAAGGTCTAGCCGACCCCGGTCACCGCTGTTCGTCTGCTTCTAAGGAATGTGAGGGTTTCATTCCCGCCGCTCCGGGAAGATTGCCCCATTTAAAAGAAAATGCTGTGACTCATTTTTTTTTAATATTTAGATTTTTGCACAAGTGTGCTCTGCAGTCTATAGAAAGAAAATTTTCATTAAGCAAATCTGATTTTGCAGTCCTGCCGCTCGGCCGAAATGCAGCCCATCCATGTTTAATGGAGTCTCCTAGGCAGCTGTGCTTTCCGTATTCCGAGAACGTTCCAGGAAAAACGGTCTCATTATTTTCACCCATCTTGTTATCATTTTCTGGAGATTTCTTCTCAAAATACGGAGCCCTCGGTTACAGCTTTGGTTCTGGATTATTCCCCCTGGGCTGGTTGGTCTCACTCACTGCACCGGGGCCTCTTGGGGCTCCGGGGGGCTTGTAACCAGCTCGTCGTAATGTCACCCTGCGTGTCATCGAAGGCCAGTCCCCTGGGAACGCTGTCGGTGACAGTTCAGAGCCACACTGTCCCACCCCAGGTAGAACCTGGAAGTGTTTCTTTTTTAAAAATTTATAAATAGGTGATGTTTGACAAAGCCACTGAATATTTCAAAATACTTAAGTTTTTTAATGGTTTCAGAGATTTTAATAAAATTAATTGCACAATATTGACAAAGCTGTGGGAATGGTGGTGGGTGAGATCTGAGAGCCCCGCTTCCTGTGACAGTCTCCGGTCCCTTGGCCACGTCTGCGTTAAGCTGACAGAGGGCATAGCTGTGTGGCCATCCCTGTCCTATCTGCACATGGCACGCGTGGGGCCCTCGCCTGCGGAGCTGGGGTACCTCACGTGGGCGTCCAGGGAGCTCGTCTGAACTGACCGTGGGTCCAGGTTAATGGAGGGACGATGTGTTTTTAGTTTCACTTATAGGACCAAACAGAAATCGTGTCTTTTGCTCAATTCCTTGGTCCCGTTCCACTATGTCTTTGGCAGTTCTTTGTCCCGATCAAAATCCCAAGCACTAGGTGGGGGGACCTCGTTAGCCAGGAAGCACCTGAGAGAGTATGTCCATGCTCTGCAGAGACACGTGAACAGACAGATGTTAGGGCCCTGCTGGTGACACACACACATCGCATTAGCGGGGCTGTCGCTGGAAGGGTGGTGAGTTTTGCTGTTTAAGGATTCGGAGCACTTAGTTTTGTGTGTCGTTCTATTCTCGTTTCAGCTCACCACATGGAAATTGTCCCACTTGAGAACCCTTTGTCACCTCTCAGTGTGAAGGTGACTCTGGTCACTGTACCCACCTGACTAGAGTGACAGGTCACAATTCAGAGGTGGAGCAGGGGGAACACAGGCCTGTGTTTGGGGTTTATTTCCTTCAAGTTTAATGGCCTGCAAAACATAAGAGTAGTGACCATCTCATGGCCGGCTGACCGCATCCCTCGCCCTGTTTGTGAAGGTTCGTCC